CTCTCTAGCTCATCTATTGGGGGTGTCGCTTCTTAATGTTCCCGTCGCTTTACAGGGTTTTGGCCTTCCATGTCCAGCAGCTATTCAATTCCTTATAAACGAGTATTGACGGTTGCTCAGATGCAGTTGCATGCGCAACATGCTGAATTTGAAGGCCCAGTCCAGGTCCAAGCAAGCTGCAAAGGCCCTTACACTGAGCCCCGCTGCCCACACAGAAAAAATGAAGCTGCCTAGAAGCCCCGATGCCTGTTCATGTGTCCAAGTCCGACAAAACTGAACAAGTGATTGTCCCGACACGAAGACACTTGCAGCTACGCGTGCAACTTCGCCTAGAGCCAGGCAGGTAGTGATCACGGCGGGTAAGCCTCCGGCTGGCCGGCCATATCCAAATCAAGAGACAGCTCCGAATGCAATTGCAAGGCCTTCAGGAATCGCGGCAACTGCCAGGGCTATGGCAATCCTAGGCATGGCACCAGGCTGTTGGAGATGCAAAGCTTGGTTCTTGAAACTGTTCTGTCTCAGGGCTCTGTTTTTCTCGCAGCATAAATGGTGCAAGTGAGGGTACGTGCTGCCATGACTGCTCGCCGGTGTGAGGCACCAGAAACCTGCAGCCTTCGATTTTGTCGCCAAAGTGAGGATTTCAGAGCTGATGTGCTTTAAAACCTCACTCTGACAACCATGCCAAATAAAAACGCATTCTGCGTCTTGCCTCAAAGGCAAAGCTAGCACTCGAGAAAAACGCTCTCCGTTGGCATGCATCACCATTTGGTGAGCAGCCGCGCAGTGGCCGACTCCACCCTGAGGCTCGTCAGGCTTGTCTGTGGTGTCGTTTAACTTGGTGGCGCATCAATTTCAAACCTCCCTGCTTTCTGCCCAACAGCTCACTTGCCAGCATTCTCTCTGTGAAATGCTAGCAGGGAGGACCATGAAAGCAGAGCTTAGCGCAGCAAACACACAAATGCACCGGTCCAAGACAACATCCCAGGGGCATCAGCAGTCTTCAAACATGCCGTCAGCGAAATGCGCTGAAGGAAAAGTTAGCAACCCTGCGGCCCTGATCACTCTTGCTGCTGTCCCCGGGTAAAAAACCAGCATTAACATGCAGTCTTTCGTTTCCAAGTCTCGAGGCACCAAAGCAGTGGGGCAGAACCCGACAAAATCCTCAAACCCATACTCAGGTTCTGCGGGCTAACACCTTGAGACTGGGGAAACCAGCCACGTGCTGACTTTTGAAGGATGTGGCGCAGGTTGCCTAGCAGATGCACCACTGCTGGCTAGATGTGGAACTACCTGTGTCAGCATGTGGGATTTCTGACGTGCTAAGAAGCTTCTCCTGAAAAACCCTGTCCTCACTCAGTGGGCTCAATTGATTCCACCCGTGACCTCGCCAGCTGGATCGCAAATGAAAGGTCATGCTGGCAAGGCTCGGGAAATTAGGTTGGTTTAGAGATGGCTCGGAGATATTTCGAAACCTCCTCTTGCTGCGGTGCCGCTACGATCTGCCTCATTATATTTCGATGCCAAGTCTTGGGCCGAGTCTGTTAATTCTGGCCCTCTACTTTCGCCTGCCGAATGAACTAGTGCAATATCATGTCGGCTCAGTCTAGCAGTCTAGCAAGTGCTTTCTCAAACTGTGGTCAAGGAAGCCCGGTTCGGAACTGCCACTGATGATGCTAAGGTGGATCGAGCTTGAAGGATGTGCCGGGGAGATCTTTGTGTGAGAGCTGCTTGAAGGCGTTGGTTTGCACAAGTCTTCCGTCTTACCTTTGCAGAAGCTGGGAGCTGTTTTCCATTTGAGCAGGACAAAGCCTGTTGAACCCCAGTGCCACAAGCACCACAACAAAGCTTCCCAATGTCGCGACCTGGTGTGAACCCAGAGCTTCAAGAGGGCAATCACTCTGGGTTTCTTGCGCCATCCCCACTTCAGTCTTTCCAGGATGCAAAGTAGTGTGGTCATCCAAAGGGTGTAGCTTATAAGCTTTAACAGCTCTAAAGCTTCAATGCAATCCTGCTGGATTGCCTCATCATGCGGGAGCTGGAAAATTACCACGAACAGGGCAGGCAAGCATAGCAAAGCTCAGCAATGAGCAAACATGATTGGAATTGACCGCATGTTCTGAGCCTGCTGTGCTGCAACGTGACGCTTTTCTGCTGAGAGCCCCCCCGGTCCTGCGCACATGAAACAAGTGCTGGATTCTGGACTCTCTGATCCATGCGCGCATGTCCCCTCCGTGGTCCTTTGAACTGGACGAGCCGTCAGCTGGTTTCCGCTTCGGTTCTGCACCCTTGGAACAGCTGGATTGATCACTCTGCTCTTTCAAAGCTTTTCCGCAATCCAATTGAACCCTGGCAGCTGTGGCATGGCACCTTCTGTGGCATGTCTACACAGTCTCAAACCTGGAAGGCAATGGCAGCTTGCTCACGACCAGCAGCTGGTTTCTTTACAGCCAACACCTTCTTCTGGGCAGCCTTTGGCGCAGGAGTATGCCTTGGCTCAGTGCATACCAGCACGAGCGGCCCATACTGTACGGGGCCTACCCTAAACAGTTCCTAATCCTTGAAACTTCAAAGGTCTACAGAGTCTGACAAATTAGCTCGGGCAGCAAGATTTAAACCCCGCATGATATGCAAAATCTGCTGAGCTGCTTAGCCTCGACAGCCTCAACCACAATGGCATCTGCAGCGTCTGGCAGCTCGCTGTGCTCGACCTGCGACCAGCAGCTTTCAGCATGAGAATTGCAATCGGAAGGCAACACCGTTGGCCATCTGATTCGGTGATGCAGAGCTTGATGACCTTCCCGGCGCACTAAATGTCATGCAGCACCTTGATGTTGACGGCCTCTCCGCCTGACTCACGCAAAACGACACACAGGATTTGCACATATACGGGTATCTTGACTGTACAAAATCTCTGAGCATCTACTGAAAATGCGATGCTACGCATGCACATGTTTTCAACCTATGACACAGCATCCCGAAAACACACTTACACTACAAGATACTACAAGCCTTCTCGAGCAGTAGGAAGATTTTTTGTCTGCTAGCCTCTGAGAGTCTGAGAGATGCGAGTACCCGCAACAGAGCATGTTAGCCAGATTTCGTAAGGACTGGCGAACAAGTTGGACCCATGCCTGGTTCCGCTTCTTCATCTGCCGGCTTGCCAATCACTGCTGATTCAGCACTCCTGAGCTTAGGCAGTTATTACGTCGTCCCTCCAAGTGCACAGGCTTACTACAACACAGCACCACTGGCAAGAAACTGCAACCAGTAACAGGTAACAAGAAACTAGAACATGTTGGCATATGCCGGCCAAGAGGAGTGGCAGCGGCTGCGTCAAAGCTTACACCGTACATGCACGGGAGGCCAAGGCAACAACAGCAACGACTGGTTAGCAGACTAACTGACCTAAGTTGTTCCAGTGCCAGGCGCCCTCAATGGACCGTGCAGTTCTGGAGATCCTGCTGAAGACGAGAGCACAAAACTCCTGACTTTGCTTCGAAAGAGCCTCACGAGCCCCGGCAACTATGTTGCAAAGTCTTGTTGTGCATATTAATCTTGACTGCCAGGGAGCGTTGCTGAACCCTCGGCAGCCTCGGTCTGCTGCAGCAATGTTGTGAAAGCAGGGGATGGCTAATCTTATGTATCTTTGAATGCTCACACACACACGAAGCCTGCTTGCCTCTTCAAGTAGGAATGCTACTCTAAGCTCCATCATGCTCCAGGAGATGCCACTCTCCAGATTCTGCCCAGCAGCTGGCTCGGCTGCCTCCGACAGCTCATCATCAGGCCTTAGTAAAAACTGCTCAAGGCCTGGCAAGACGCTGTACATGACTGCTGCTTTCTCAGAGCACGCCACGTGGACGCGAGAAGCAATCGAGCTTACGTTCGATTACCACATCAACGACACGGGCTGACCACAAGGGAGCTTTTGATGAAACAAGTCGAAGGTTTACGCTTCTTGCTAGGTGTTTAACAAGCGTGTCGTGCAGCATCCCCGAGTCTCAGTGTAGGCGGCAAGTACAAGGACGCAGCCCAGCACGCTGACAATCTCGCTTCAGGTTGCAACACGCGTATCACTCTGCAGGCTGCAAACGAGGCAAATCTCAGAGTCTCAGTCACTTCAACAAGAGTCGACAGCACAGCCATCGCGACTATGAGCAGCCTCTAGCGCGCATCGAAATAGCCCCAAACTCCAAACAGACCATGAAACTCAAATTCTTGTACCACCCGATCAATGCCCAAGGCAACTTGGCTACGCAACAGGTACACTGTTCTGTGCTGTTCATCACGCGATGAAAGTTGAAACGTTTCGAGCATGATGTCTGCCTGGGTAAGATTTAGGTGCGTGAGCCACGACATTTTGGGCGCACCTGAAATTCTGTATGCACCGCTTTGAGCCCCTGCAATGCATTTCCGCTGCTGCAAAGCTGCAGTCTCCGCGCAGAAGGAGCGTCCATGTTGAGGAGGCTGCTCTGCGCAGGTTTTGCATTGTGTCTCTGCGAGTATCAACCACTGGATGCTCAACAGCTTGAATCTGAGCTCTGCATGAACTCTATACATCCACATGATGGCAACACAGGCCCATCTGTAGGATTCCAAGATTCCAACAGGCCCTGGACGACTTTAACAGGATCGGCTCCTGCCTGTTCGACGGTGGTTTGGCTTCTGCTACCTTGCGGAGCACGACACATGTTCTGATGTTCTGCAGCTACAAACTTGGCAAAACAGAAATGCTTGATGATGCTTTCAAGACTTTGCCCATCTCATGCACATCGCTCGCTAGCCAGAAGCCGAAGAGTATGTGTCGTCAAGGCAGGTTTGGAGAGTTTGTCCGCGGTTGCCGGCAATTATGCCCATCAGCACTCCATCGTAGGCGAGAGACCCTGACCCTTCTTCTTGCGGCTGCGCAAAAATCCTCAGGCTTGACAAGCACGCGCAATTTACTACCTGACTCGGAACTGCCTGCAACTTCTGAATGTGAAATAGTCGGCAGCTGAGAGTCGCTGCCGCAAGGTCACCTGCGACCGCTGTGCAGTTGTAGCGCGCTTGGCCATGACATCCCTCTCCACAGCGGTCCTGCTCACAGAGTGATGGTTGTGTTCAGACGTACTGTACCACTTAATGACAAGAGCTGTGGAAACATGGCTCAGACGTATCTTGCACAACAGCAACAAAAGCGCACCAAGCAAGGCTCAGCAGCATGGAGGGGAGCACCCGTCGACTTCGTCCCGGCAACAATCACAGTTGCATGTAGCAGGTGTCCTGTTGGCAAGGCCCCAGTTCTGACTCTTGATGCTGAAGTCCTTAGGCACAAGCAGCTTCAGCTATGCAATGATATGCAATGCTCTGCCTTTCGCCTCATGCTAGTATGCACTTCTTGGCTCCGAATGGAACAAAGGCAACTTTTCGTGCGAGCCATGGCGCTGCCGGTGTGAAATCCGGGCACCTAGAAGCCAGGTTGCTCAGAACGGAAATCACATTTGTTTAGGCAACACCTCCCAACAAGTTCTCAGCTACGTGTGCTATGTGCTATGTGTGTGATCGTCCATGGCCGGCGCTGGAAGACCAGCGGCTGCAGCAGCCGAGCTAGGCTCCGATTCATCTCCTCTCAGCTTTTGCTATGCTTTGCTCTAGCTTTGCTGGCTTTGCTTTCAGAGAGGAGAAGACCCCCAATTTGGCGGGAATCCTCGCAGTAGTCCCGGAGGGGCAAATCGTTATAGTCATCGTTGAACCTTATACGATTCAAGTTCGCCTGTTTGCATCTTAAGCTGGCCCAGTCAGCAAGCAACCTTGCCATAGCAGCAGGCTTCTTATGGCTTCATCTCAAACTCACCTAACTTTCTGCAGCAATTGTGGTCTGGAGTCTGAAGGCTGCGCTACAGCCAAGCAACGGGTTCTCCAGTTCACCCGCTGTGTAGTTCACACCCCAGAGAGCCTCACGCGCTGAGGAGAGTAGGAAGAAACGTCGCTTAAGTCTGCTCATCCGGAAACCTGCGTAATTGTAAGTTCTATGTAATCTCCAGGTAGCTGTCACGCTGATGGTGGTGATGGCCCAGCACCACGCTTCTGAATCCATTGCTGAGGCGCAGAGCACCTTCCCCACACACACTCTAACGAGGCAATCCTTCATCCACACAAAGAAGAATGTTCCAGCTTCAGGTTCAAAAGCTTTTAAAGTTTCAAGAAACTCGCGCGCTACAACCTGGAGCTCCCTCCAAAATGAGAGGAAACGGGATTTGGGCGCAACGTCTCGAATTTCAGATATCCGGCTACTCGCTGTGGAAGAGAAGATGCGACAAACAAGATTTCATCAACAGCGGCGTCTGAGAATGTGGCGGGCATGATGATGCTGTTTGCCATGAGGGCGAAAGCAATCATCTGCGCATATGGGAAGGGGAAGGACACCTGAGTGAGACGGAATTTCCCAGAAAACATGTTGCATGTCCACAGCCCAGCTGATGCGTCAAGCTTTCGAATCGTTTACCTTCATGTAATGGCTACCACGCTTTTAGGCCTGGATGCCCTTCTCAGACCCTGCTAGCCCTTAACTGTGTGTCATCCTAGGACAGGTGGCTTGGTCTGTCGTTCTTAAACTAGTCTGGACGAATTTGGACTACATTCTCAAACGGGTACAGTACTTCTTTTACTTGTTTGGCCATGCTGTGCCCTAAGATTCATCCGAGCAGCATCTATGATCGTCTGCACTTGCTCCAGTGACACACGCCCTCGCGACAGTTCCTGGAAGACTCGGGTGATGATCGGGGGAGGCACATCCAGAACGTGCGAATCCTCAGAATTGGCAACACGCTGAACACAGGTGCGCAAACTCACAACTGCAAAGAGCTTCGCTGTTCCTGCATCACCGTGAGTCGCAGCAGACAGTAGGCGCGGAACAGCAAAACAGGCTCAATTCTGAATGTCTGTGTAGGCTCAATGTGATTGACCACAGCAGTTTGGATCCACTGCAGGATGACCTCGCACTTGTCCTCAGGTTTGGCATAGCTGGGCATGCATGCCTCATACTACGTACATGCAGCTGCGACGACTGCTAGCATGTGTTATGCTTGTCTTGATTGACGCCAGCAGCGGTTTTCCTTCTTTTCGCAACCCTTTGCTCTTTGCACCGCTCAAGTCAGCCGCCGCCTTCTGTCTGCAGCCCAGCGTCTTCCTGTTGCCGCACGTATGCGACTGACTCCTGTCCGCTCATGCCAAGCAATGCCAAGCACACGACGCGCAACACTCTCTCGAAGCACAGCACAGGACGCAACAACACGTTTCTATTGCCCGTTTCTGTTGCCACAAATCTCTCATGGACAACACGTAGATATGCCTTCAACATCTTTCCTGTTTCTTGAGATCACCCTTCAGTGCATGCATGACATCGTTTGCCGCCATGGGGCAGAACTCAGGCCAGAGATATCCAGAACCTCCAAACAGGTCTCGATATGGTTTCTTTGCGATGCAGTGTGACAGCATGCAAATCAAAACACACACTCTCGCTTCAATCGTAGACCAAAGTCGACCGGCCCAAGCTGACTTTATAGCTGGCTGAGCAGCTTCAAAGCCCAGGTCACAACCGGCAAGCTGCTCCAACGCCGTGGCCCAAAGCATGGACACCAGGCGCACCAGCCTATCCAGTAATTGAACCACTTTCTGATCCACCAGAGACTTGGGGGCTTTAGAAGCCTTCCTATGCTAGAATTCCAGGAATGTCGTTCTGGATTATTGCCCAGGTGCAGATGCTGAAACATCAGAACATCCTCCTCAGAAACGAACATCTGCGCAATGCTGAAGGCTGCTTCAAAGAAGCTACACTTCTGCCAAAGAAAGGTCCTCCTTTTCCGGATCCCTGCTGCAGAAAGCGAACAGGCTGGAGGCGGCTCCGAACCACTCCCCTCTCACCTGCTTCAGCCTCGTAGCGCCTGCATCAGGCTATCTCGAAAATGCCCAGGGTGAACATGACAAACAATGCGCGATGGCACCATGCTGCACTCTGCAGCGGCCTTCCCAGTATCTGGAGTACGCCTGCGTTGTACGGAAAACCACCAGAAACGCCAGCATGGCCTTGTATCAGTGCTTTTCAAACAAGGATGACAAACTAAAATCTAACCACCGGCTGATCCGCGGGGGTGTGGACTGGCTATTCTTCAGTCCCATCTAGCCGCGGGATGCACCCCAATAGGCATCCAAGCTTCATTGTAGGCTGCCCAAGCCTGGCTGACCTTTGCGCTGGTCCGTCATCCAAATAGGAAGAAGTCTGCTAAAACAATGGCCCAATATTTTAAGTATGCCGCGAATACAGACCTCACATAGACTCAGAGCTCGCACATTCAAGTTACGACACCCCGCTCATTTAGCGAACACAAATCCAAGTTTCTCCCTCCAGACGTGAGGTCCTGTGCAACACATTAGCTAGGCTTAACGAAAATCCAAGCAGCAATTGCTTCCATTTCGAAACCCCGCTGGCCCTAATGACCCTAATGCAAGTTTACCCTGAAGCCTGATTGCCAGAAACCATCATGACTAGTAAGAATTGCAGCAGAACCAGATCTATGATGCGGACGCTGCTGCCATATTCTATTCTCCTGAATCCCTGGGACACGCGATCAGCTGCGGCCAACTGGTAAGCCTGATAAGCATCAGACGGAGAAATTGTCGAGCGTAATTCCGTAGTGCTTCATGAGCAAGCTAAGCCTCAAATTCTCAGCTTTGCAATAACATGGACTAATGGACTGAGTGGCCCTCGGCTATGTGTGAATAACAGGTCTTGAAAGTGTCTTATGAACAGCACCACCGCGTACGCAAAAGACGAGGTAAGATATTGAATATGGAGTGGCCAAGAGTTATTTGATAAAGGCCTTGTCATGGACGCCGACCCACATTGCAGAACCAGCAACCCCACTGCTAGGATACCGCTGGGGACGCCCCACAGGCAAGCTTTCGGCAGTACGGAGCCAGCGAGGGAGAACGCAAATCCAACATGCCATCTGCCTGGCGAGCAAGTTAGCAAGGCCAAGCAGGGTCAAGCAGGAAACAGCCCACGATAAAACTCCCCAGCCTGGGTGGTATGTAATCATGGGCAGCCAGTGCTTCGGGAATCTCGGCGCTTTACCGATGCCACGGGGTGTCTGTGGCCATTGTCCTCTAACCGCCGGCCTACACAAGACAGATTTTCCGAATAACGCCAAAACAGGCCCTGTCAGTATCATGGCCTGCCCGTGCCTAAGTATGACCTGGGCACCAGAATATGCAACACCAGCCGTGTGAGTACATCTGGGCTTGGCTGCTGGGGCTCTGACAGCTCAGCTAGAAGCTCAACTTTGCAGGTCTCGTGTGCTTGTCCAGTCAACTTGAGCCTAGCTCTGCGCGGCCGATTCCTTGCAGACAGGCCCTCTGCAAAATACCCGCAGCTCTTGCACACTTGACGTATTTTCAAGGAAGCAACGGAAACCATCTCAACCTGCTTTGATTGAGGGTCACTTCCTCAAACATGACGACCGACCCTCAACACATGGACTATGACGCCGCATTTTTCCAGAGGGTAAGGCTCAACAACCAGCTGAAGCAAACGGAAGCCGAGATGCTTGAAATAGTAGATGCATCCGCGAATTACCTTAGTCATCAGCGCAGCAAGTCAAGAACTTCTAAGGCATAGATTTGGGACCACGTTTCGAAGTATGGGAATGCACACTAGTGGCAGATCCATGAACAGGGTCAAAGAAGTGCTTGTAGTTGATCATCCAAACCTGGCAAAGGGGCGCTTCGGCATAATATGTCGATATAAGAAAGACGGGTCGGTCAAACTAAGGTCGGCACCAAAGCGCATATCACAAAGATGACCTCCAGCCAATCTCTCAGGATGCATCTAAGAACTTATCACGAGATGGGAATGTGAAAAGCTCCACATATCAGGAATGCCCACGCGAATGGACAGGCGCCTTGGCCAGCAAGTTGCCGAAGTCATCCAGCTTTTGCTGCAGCGGCGTTTGCTCCTGTCTTGCTGTGACGTACAATACCCAGATGCGCAATCGAGGCTGTGACCACCTTGATGAAGGGCATGACACAGTCCGAACTTGAGTCTGCTCCTCCTCACCCGCAGCCAGTTGGACGGCATCCTTCGCAAAGGAAACCCCAAGAGGAAACAAAGGCCCTGCAGTTGAAGCCGAATGGAAATCCAATCTATGAAAGCCACAATTCTCTTCTGGATGCGGGGTGTGCCATGTGACTGTACCAAAATTGACGACGTGATGCAGTCCTGGATTGCACCAATTTCGGTTGACATTCCAGTCGCTGTCACAACACCAATGCAGGCACCGTTGGAGATGGTCGTGGAGGCGAAAAGCATGTTCACCTCCACAAAAGAGTCAAAATAAGCAGAGGAGTTCTTTGGCTCTGCATAAGGCAGCTCACGAGGATTTGAGGCTGGCCCTCTCCAGAGCCTTGCTCTGAATGATCGTCTCTGAAGGCAAGCAGGCCGTGGGGTCTTTAGAGACGCTCTGCGACTCTCCTGTCAGCTGTGACCTGGGCTTGCACCGGGCAGGCATGTCGGCCAATCCCCGTACAAAGAAGACTTTCATTTGACTTGTTTTGCTGTCCTCGGCACTCTGATCTATCTTATCAGGTTACCTCGTCTATAGCAAGGGCTGCCAGTAAACTTCCTCACATTTCTTACCTCGTACCTCGATTTTTCTTATTTCAATCTGCTTCAGATCGGGGCTTTGCTTAATTAATCTTGCCCACCTTGTAATTTCAATCTCACCTGTAATCTCAAAGTCCTGGGCTGACGCTGGCTTGAGGGCACTACAAGTACACACAAGTTGGGACGACCGGGTACCTTCATTTCTGCCTGATCATGGCTCCTTCATGATAATGGGGCGTGCTTCGAAACAAAAGACCGGTAGTTTATCTTCGGCAGGAAATTCTTCTGCCATTCCTCCGAAAAGTCTCTCGATCCCGACAATTAGTATTTGGGGTTGTTCGTGATAAATCCCCAGCACCACTGCAACCATTGAACAACCCTCTCAAAAAATGATGATTCAGGAACACAAAACTCACCCAAGCAGAGAAGGATGTTTAGCAAGATTCCAACAACAGCTTAGAAGCAAGAATGACATGCGTCCCCAAAAAAAAAGTGTGTTTTAGGAGCTCCACAGTCCCCGGCCCTAGGCAGCCATACGCCTTCTGCTTCCCGAACTGCATACAAGCGGAACCGACCCGCCTGCAAACCGAACCGCTTTGAATCGTTGAAACCCATTCCAACGCATTCCCGCAAACCCAACAGAACTGAACCGAACCGCAGTTTCCTTGACACGCGCGCAAGTACAACACATACTCTTCGCCACGAGAGCACTTGATGTGGCCGGCTTGCTCTTCTTCTTCAAAACAGCTGTTGAGGCAGAAACATGTTGACACGCATCCCGATACCCCTGTCAAGGAACTGCTCGACGCGGATTGTGGTGCTGTTCAGCTTCACGACCCGTACGTCTGCTGGCACTTTGTCTCCCACCTTGACCTGCAGCAAGTTACGCACTTAACTTAGAGTCCTTGATTTGCTCCTGCAAATATCTGGCAGGGTCCGAGCCTGCACCACGTCCCCAGGGACAAGGCCAACAGCATCTATTGTTGTCCTTGCAAACAAGTTGTCAGGGCAGCTCCCGGAAGCTGGGAAGCATGCTACCCTTTTGGGAGACGTGGTGCAAAAAGAAGTTGCAAGAAAGGACGTCTTCAAGGGATCTGTGAGTCTGCCCTCTGCGGTCTAGCACAGTAGATGACATAGCCCGAGATATGGGACTCCTGAGCCTAACTGCACAGGACTGAGCGATGCTCAAACGCTGATACTTTACTTTGGCGGTATCCGTCTTACGTACCCTAGCCAACCTGGGCCATGAGCACGAACCTATCTACACACCCATCCCCACATTTTACAAGAACCATTGTCCAACAGCCGTCGCGCAGGACAGCAGCAGTGTCGGGTTGAAGCCTCGCAGACCCAATGAGGCAAATCCCGAGTGACTCAAGTCAGCGCTGTACACTCTATCAACCATTTCTTGTCTTCATGAGGGAGGGCACACGACATCTGGCGAGCCTCTTCAGCGCATCCAGAGCCTTCTCAGCATTGGACTCTTGCCAGACTCCCACCTCACGGACAAAACGCTGCTGAGCGCGCTCCGTGCTTGAGCATCGGCTTGAACGTAAACTGCCAGATCGGTATCAGCCAAATACTCTGAACAGGTCCTCGTTCAATGGACGCCTTCGTATGCTAGCTTTCTTCGAGAACCTTCGGTCACAGCCGGGCCCCTCGCAAACAGGGTCGTAAATTCCAAAAAGCTTGCAAGACTTGGCCCACAGCCCTCATTCAGTTCTTTGTGTCTGCATTTGGAGCACTTTGGCTTGCGGGCGCATGTTCGACATTTACTTGAACAAAGAACTAACCAACTCATTATTGCAGAGCCGGCTTGGCCATTGTTGCCGAAGCGTGCTGTCCAATAGTATTGTATCTGAAGTCTAACCAAGCGCAGAAGACAACGCAGCTGCATGAATCTACATGCCAGGAACTTGAACTGACTGTTCAAACAATCACTTTGACTGTTTATTTGCCACGTGCGTCTGCCCGGCTGCTGCAAAACTCAGCGCTACTAGAACCTCGATTGGAACCAGAATTGAGCTTGCAGCATTCACGTGAAGCAAATGAATGTGGCCACAGCAGGACAATGGGGGGGCAAGCTTTTGAGCTGCTTTCCGTAATACTTTTGCAAGCCACAAATGCGTTGGCGATGAGGATGAGAAGGATGACCAACCTCAGGCTGCGGTGGCCCCTGGACATCATATGCTTTATCTCTCCCTCTTTGCCTTGCAGCTTTCTTTGCGTGGTGGCATCAGGCAACCAAAGCATCCCGAAAGCTTTCGGGAAAAGTCCGTCCTCAGCCTGAACCCCAAAGCTGTCCCAGCTGAAGTCAAGCAGCGGCTCCACAAATGCTGTGATCCCTTCCTAGCGGCAACATACGAGAGCATGCCATCCAAGTACAGAAAGGTCTTGGCAGACGCACCTGCCTCACTCTTTTCGTCAACCAAAGCCAGGAAGAAAGAGACCATGGCAGAGAGAAGCAGGATGCGCACTAGCCTCTGACAGTCTAATGTCATGTCACTGCAGCTTGCCAGCCCCCAGACGAACTCCCTCGCTAAGACAACGCACTCAGAATCACCCCCTTCTTCAAAAAAACGCTTGGCGCAGCACTCCGTAATGAAGTTTACGGGTTCATGGTTACAGGCCAGTGGTTTGTAACGCTGGCAACATCACAATGCGCATGCGACTGCCTTCGTCTGGTCTGGGGCCTCTAGGCTTCGCTGAGCAATCTGCTTGTGACTCTGGATGCCGGTCCAGTAAATGGCTCCCAATTCCAATCACGGATCTTAGCCGTTTGCTGCATTGGCGCAAGACTTGCAGTATCCCACCCATGGAGATACAATCACAGGAGAGGGCACGGCACTCAAAAGACTCCGGACAAGTTTTGCATAGCCCGGCTGGGCGCGGAGTACGCCCGACTAGTCCTAAGCGCGCGGCCACGACTAATGCGTGGGGTGTCAAGGGAGTTTGATGGCCGAATCCATGCGCGCCACCTCAAAAACATCGCTGACGCCACGGTTTGCTTTTCTTTTCGCCAGAGAGCCAGATACCGGAAAACTCAACACTCGGTACTCCCTCGCGGTCGCTGGGCTAGGAGGCCTGGAATAGCTCTTAACTGAAAACTGCGCTTAGTGATGGGGCACTCAGAGCTGAATAAGCAGATGCTGATGGAAACTAGCTCCACCAACACATTCCTTCTGAGGCCAAAGGTTGGCAAGGGCCGAAGGTGAGAACTTCTAGGGCAGAAAACGGCAGAAAGGTAGATGACTCTCCCCAACTTGCAGGCAGCAAAGAGCACTCCACTGCAAACAGAGCAGAACTGACGAGCCAAGCCAAACCACACTGAACCCTAACCAGGGGAATTGGCGCCAGGCCTGCAGCGGCCCAAACACCGTGGGACCGGCAGTGCAGTGACACTGAGAGTTCTAGCAATAACAGCAGTAATAATAGTGATTGTGATAATTGTAATAGTAGCAATGCTAATAATCGCCGAAGTATTGATAATAGTAAGGCTCCCAGCGGCATCACCACCGCAAGCCATCTAGCCCTGTGATCATGCCTGGCCCTCTGCCTGCTTAAATTTGGCTACATATAGTAGTGTCCAGAAGTAGGGGACCCCAATATAGATCCGAAACATGTTTAATCCTTCTTATGGGGACCCCGAAGGGCACCCCTATGTTTGGGAGATGGCCATATCTTGCGCACTTGAGAGGTTCACTTGTCATTAGGTTTCCACAAGGGTGCCCCCACAGCTCTACACAGCCAGGCTGTAGTTGCAGCATTTGGACATCAGAGTCTGAGCCGGTACCGTTGAAATCTTGCATGACCTTACTATACTACAGTACGATAATGTACGATAGTTCCCAAAGTTTGAGGTATGTTGGGTTATGCATGATTGTTAGTGTCCACCGTACGTCAGCACTTCGCGTGCCAGGTGGCAAATCTTCGAACTGTGCGAGGATCAGCTTCCACAGCGACTTCTTCTCCTGGAGAGTGCATAGCGCGTTCTTCACTGGTACCAGCTTTGGCTTTGCATCCGTCACCATGAATTCACGAATCTAAGCGTTCCTCCTCTGCCAGCGCATTGGGGCCATGCCGTAGCCTCTGTTGGAGCACCTGCTCAGGAGCTTTTGCGGCGTACAGCATGGCACATACCTGGAGGCTTGTCAGGCCTGACTACCGGTAAGCCCCGTCTCCAGGCTGACGTGGAAATGGGCCAAGACATCCTCAATCAAAACACTCAATTTTGATAGGTTCCGTCCTGTGCTGAGAAGCAGACCTCCGCAGGGAGCGTATGTGGGTGCCTGAGGTCATCTTCCACGGCCACCTGCTCAGGATTCACAAGGTGCATCATCTTGCCAAATTTTGCCAGCGAACATACCCGGTATGCAGCCCTGATGCCTTGCTCATATCATCCAGGCGGCGCCAACACTGCCGCACACCGCTCGCTGCATTGCAACACGGGAACAGGCGGCAGTTGTGCAAAGGGCTCTGGTTTCGGTGCTGCCCAGTTCCTAAGGGCAGACCACCCCATTCAAATTTCACTGAGTCAAAGAGAACATGTCACGTCTAACGTGCGTTGCAACGGGGCCGCACCTGTGTGAAGAGTTCATTCATGTAAGCACACATGTTCTTGTCTTTGTGGCTGAAGCTCAACTGCGTGCATTTTTCCTTTGATCAAACGGGCCTGCAACTTCGCCAACACAGGAGGCCCTAGCCCCCACAAACGCAGTCTGCGACAGTCTGTCATAATTGATAAAGACAGTCTCTCGCAGCTGCATGGTTAGGCTACCTGGTGTCACGCTGCGCATGTGCTGCAGTCGAAGCATAACCGCAGAATTGTGGTAAGATGTTCGAAACATCCCTTGCCACGAGCTGGGTGTGCCCCGAAGAGCATGAACACCTTGTTCTTGGGGTTTGTGTCGGGAGCTTTGATGGAGACCACGTCCTGAGCGGGGCGCGAGGGACTCACACCCAACTGCACTGCTGGGACTAGTTGCAGTTCTTGCAGTGTTTGCAGTTGTCGGGGCTCGGGCCAAGTCTACGGACCTTCCATCTGCTAAGCTTGTCCGGCTCACGGTCCTGCGCGCGTGTCAGCAGCATGCTCCTTCATAGCTGGACATGGGTTCTACTTTGTACTATGCTCTGCACTGATTTCTAGTCCCTTCTACAGCGCTTTTGTCTTCTCCCTCCGCTCCATCCACATGTCGCATGAGCTGGCGGTGAGGCCACGGCAACTACTCTGACAGTCTCTGTTTCCTCCTCCTCGTCCTCCTCCTTCTCTTCCTGTCCTCCTCCTCTCTCATTCTGCGAATTTCTCCGGCATCATGGCTATCTTTCTGCCCTGCGAATGCAAGGTAGCCTTGCATCTGGCTGTCACGATCCCTCCTGAGCGACAAGCTGGAGCAGCGCTCGGCCAATGCTTGCAGCTCCGTGTGAATATCCTGCTGGGCTCACTTTCAATTGATTTTCGTGGCTTTTGCCTCACTATACATCTGTACATCCCCTCAAAAAAGTACACCGTATTTGGCAGACCTAGCAATTGATCGACACACACCAGCTACGGGGGCAACATCTGCTTCCCGGATAATGACCTCAGTGGTGTGGTAGAAAGATGGCAGGCCTCGCAGGTGACATCCTACTGGCACTATGAACTGAAAGCTGACTGTATACTGTGCGGTCTGGCCATCCTGCCTGTTGCTGCAGGCCGCAACCTGGACAAAAGCCCAGAATCAAAAGCAAAGAATGCTGAGCCCCCAACTGGCGCGCAGTGGCATGCGCTCCATATTATCTGAACCCTGCATCCCTACCGGTATATATACCCCATAACTATAACCCTTTATCCCCAATATCCCCCTCATGTTGCCTTGTCTTCACCTTTGCTCCGCGAACCAAGGCCAGAGCCGCGAGGCCCAAAACCTGGGCAGCTTTGAATTCACAGCTGCACGCTTCCTAGGAATCTGTGCAGCTGAAGGCAGTCGAATTTGTGTTGGAACTCTAGCTTGTTGCTGTGACTGCTGTTTAGCCCTAGTTTCGGCGGTTCTGGGTTGGAGCGGACAGGCTTGGGAGCAGGGTGCCGGACCGTAAACCAGCATTACTGCTAGCCGTAACCGCTGCAATTTAAGAAAATCAACACGTGTAGAAATTGCAGTAGCAGAAGCGCGGTAGCCATGGCAATACCATTTGAATTTGGGCATCACAATTACAAGTACTGTTGCTACTCTGTTGTCGTGCCTGTTATTGTCCCTGTTATTATCGGGATGTATCGGGTGAGTGGGGTCTCCTACTAGTGTTCTTGCTGTGGTGTATGTGTTGCTGCTGTTTTTGTTGCTGCTGCTGGGGTTGTTGTTGTTGTTGTTGTTGTTGTTGATGATGATGCTGCTGTCGGTGGTGCTGCTGCAGCGGCGGCAGTGGCGGCACCGTTCTTGCAGTCACTCTTTTGCCACCATTGCTAGCAGCAATTAGCAGCAGCTGCGTTCTTGTGGATCGTAAGATGGTCACTCTGACACTGTTTATATAGTCTATATATGCTTATCAGTGCTGAATTCTTTGTGTGTTCACTGTTTCTCATGTTCTCCTGCGTTGCTTCCCAGGCCCCATTCCCGTTCCTAAAACGGCAGCTACAGCAGCTACGCTTCCAGCTCACTGCCATTCCACACTGTTCGGGTCGACGACAGCCACGGTTGCTACAATTACCTCCACCACCGCCGCCGCCGCCGCCGCGGTTGCTGCTGCTTTTGCCACTACTACCACCACCACTGCTGCCACTACTACCGGACCTACTAGTTGCTCCTACCAGGTCCTACCACCAATACCTGAAAGAATATGCTGACTTCGCCCGGAAGCTAGCGGCCTTGACTTGGCTCAGCTAAGGATTGCATTAAAGGAGATTCTTTCCCCATTGACAGTAAATGAGAACTGCAACAGTAGCCGCTGCTAGTAGCCAGTACACAACATGAACCAAAAGAGCGAATCCGAAGTAGGAAACAGCAAGTCTGAAAAACATAGTGGCAGCAGCAGCAGCAGCAGCAGCAGCAGTTCTGCACAACTCTTGGTAGTCCTCGTCGCGGTCGTGGTCGGTCGTCATAGTAGCAGCTGAAACAACTATAGTCACTGAGTCCCCACGAACACTACCGGGAACTGCACGAGTACTCCAGGACCACTCCAAGAGCACTCGAAGAGCACTCGCCATCAGCTCTGCGAGAAGCGAAGTCAAAAAGAGCTCTCTGAGGACGCGCTGAGAGCCCCCACTGAGAGCACTCGGAAAAATTTCAAGAGCCCTGTCAGAGAAATAACGGACCCCTTCTTTCGGTGGATTTCTCACGGTAGACAACGTGCTGATGGTGCCGATGCACGGTCGGCCATGGATTCTCGGAATGGCCAAATTGTGCTGCGTGTTTTGCACGGCAAATGCTCGGTGATGTGGGCACTTGCAGCTTCTGAGTGATCATGCTAGCACCTTAATGCAAAGCTTGCGCATGTGAAATGGGCAGCGGCAGGTGCCCCCGAAGAACTTGGCCAGAATGTGTCTTGACATAAACCGGAGATGTGGCTGTGTTTATCTGACCCCGAAACAAGCCTTGCACAGAAGTGGGACCCGTGAACTTGTCATCTTTGGGGGAATAGATCGGTGTCCCGAAACACCATGCGCAGTACCAAAGACTCAAAATCGCCGTGCCTGTCCGCATGTCGCATGCTCATTCACGTGTCATGCCAAAAGGGCGTCATCCTCAACACAGGCCTACGACTGAATAGCAGAAGGAGACTCAAGGCCAGATGACGCAAAGCCAGCAAGCCAAGATGAGCCGAAAGAAAATCAAAAGCCGGAAAAAATGTTGTTCGCGCTGTTAGCGGTGAAAGGGGGCCCTCAAGCCAAAAAGCGTAATTACAAAACCAAACTTCCTGCAATGACTAGCCTTCCATGATCTCCAATGTACTCGGAAAACTCCCGATCAGCAGATGTAGGTTGCTGAACTTACGACTGCGAAGATCTCTTCTAAGACAGGTGCCAGGCACTTCATTGATCCAGTTCTGCCTTCACACATGTTCACACTCAGAAAATGGAGATGCTTTTGAATAAAACTTGCGACCGAGAACTCGGAACGGGATGTAGTGCTCTCAAGCGCAAGACGTTTATGATCTGAACGGTCAATTGGAGTGCAGCTGATTGGCAACATGCAGAAAATCAACTCCCTAAGCATGCAAGAGGGTGTACAGCAGGGATGTCATGGCTAGTAGAGTGACATCCCCCATGCAATAGCCCAAGCCTCGGCACCTGAGGGCACCCCTTCCCCCGCAGCCTGAGGCTTGAGCCAAATCAGACGAACCAAAACTGTCGCTGCTGTAGCTGGCAACAGCCGGGACAATTCCAGTCATTTGCTGCTGGCCTCGTGCTGCCTTGGTCACACACCTGCTTAGGCATGCAAAGGGTGCTTTCTCAGGCGCAGTACAAGGAGAAGTCTCGTCAGTAAAAAACAGCTACCGTGCCGAAGGAACTTGTGCGGCACATGGCCGGCTTATGCACAGGAGCCATGCGCTGTAAAACGTTTGTGTGCTAGTTCAAGGCATTGGCGGCCCAGATTGGCCCGAAGCATCGTTCGAGTTGCACATGCCAAATGCTAAAGCTGCTAGAGTGCTAGATGCGGCATCTGCCTTCCCCTGCTACGCCCGCTGTCAGAACAGATGCTTCATGAATCTTCACAGAGGGCTTTCATGCACTGTGTTGATTTTAAAAGTGCATCATACCAATGCTCAGCAGAAACCTGTTGTCGTGCAGGTCTCGGGACTTGTCCTCTCGTGTTGTCTTGCAAAGGGCTCCCCGGCTGCAGGATTTCCCGCGTTGATTACCACTACTTTCCCAGAAGACCATCCCTGGATGACCCGCAGCACACAGGCTGACGGAAAGCTGAGCAGCAAAAGACTCGCCCACATTCATTTCATCTACGGATCTTCTATGTGAAGCGAATTTCAATCGAGGAAACCTCGATTAATTTGGGCAGACCGCAACTCCAGCTAAGGATTTGCGGCCATACTCACCATTGCATGATGATCCGACGAGCCTCCAACGCATCTCATCTCAACGGGAAGCCTACCTTCACCCTGCAAGGCTTCATGAAATATTATGTAAGCTGCAGCCACACCTGGCTGGTCGGCTGTTCTGCCGGTACCACGGCTGGTGGATGCGTGGCCTGGGCACTGGCAGTTACTGGCGAGGTGGATGACACTGAGCGACAAGCAAGGATATATCCAGAGCACTTCCCTTTGAACCCCTTTGCTGCTGGGAGCAAGCTGGTATGTAAACACACGCAGGCAACGGCGAGGTTCGGATTCCAAGGATGGATCAGAAAAAAC